TGGAACAACTCAAACACTAATCAGGTAACGAGGAGGAGGGATCAACAATCACAACAGCACATGGCACAACATAACAACACCCATGTGCAACACAAGACAGGACAGGCATGTGACAACATGGTGTTGTTTTGTATCTGTGCAAATGACACTGTGTGGAACTCCGCTTGTGGAAAAGCTGCTTGTTGAACTTTGATTTATCATTTCTCTTTACCATTAAAGTTATTATGGTGGATGTCAGTATACAAAATACACCTGTGCCAACCACAGCTGCCAGTTTTATTCTGTAAAATAAAGAGACCCAATAAAGTAGTCTTAAAGATATAGTCTTTCCTTCATTGATCTCATATACTCTTTTTGTGTATTCTCAGCTAGGCCTATACCTGCACTGATACTTTGATATTTAACATATTTTGCTAACTTTATTGTAAATTTCTTTAGTATGGAAGTGCTTTCTACAAGCATATATGTACTGAATTAATATAATGCTGTATTTAAAAGAAAGAGGAAAGGGAATACAAATCCCATTGATTTGTTATTGCTAACCTGACACTGTTATCAGTCGGTCTAGATATTCTTCCATAGATTAAAACATAACTAAACTAAACTAAAATATATTTCCTATATATGAATTATCAATATATTAAATGTATATTTGAAAATATACAGAATAATATGTGTTAATATATTACAATATATTGAATAATACATAAGGAATAGCTGCTTTTCATATATTGAAAAATATGTGACAATATATTTACTAATATATCATAATGTATGTAATTTTATATTCAGTAATATTCTTCATAATATATAGATGTATATAGGATCAGATATGGTACTTCACATGTAATATAATTTGCAGATATACTTCTTATAAAATGTAGTAACTAAAGTCTTCGTCTATCGAACCACAGGCTCTACTCCTCAGCACAATGGTAACCCCAAAAACTCAGACATACCAGAAAACATTTTGAAATTTAAAAATAATAGAGCATTAAAAACTAACAGATCTCCCCCTATATTAATATTGCGCAAAACACATTAAATAACACTTAATTTTAACATTTACTCTTTAACAGTCAGAAGCAAAGCATGCTGGGAACTAGAAATCTGATGTAACTCATTCCGTGAATGTGTGTATATATATGTGAGTGAACATACATTCACATTTATATGGGAACATGTATGTACACAATAAAGGATAAAACTTTGTGAATATTACATGCAATGCTATTTTTGTCTTCATTTATAAATATTTTATATTCATTAATATATAGACATACAAGGTCAATGCATATATTGCAGTATATTGAAAAATATAAACACTAGTTTCCCATATATGGACATGTATTATGTAATATATCGCATTATATTTTGCAGTATATTCCCATATATTTTTGTTTCGTAAGGGGTCCTCACATCATCAGTGCTGTTTTTTAGACACAGTAAGGTTTGAAGTATTGGCTCTGGTTTCCTGCACTGAGATTGCATTTCTCTTTTTAACTCCACTCCACTCCATCAACTCATTCTGATAAAAACAAAACAAAAAAAAGGTCTGAGGCAGATCACTGGACTATTCAAATGTCTCTATTGCTATGGAAACAGGATAGCAAGCGGTATTTTAATGCTTGCATTACATAATACTTCATGCTTTACTGCCAAGCTTGACTTCTCTAACCAAATCTAATGTTATGAAATGTTGATATTTTCCTTTTGATGCTGAACAAAGAGCATATTTAGATTTGCATCGTCATGCATAAAGCCAGATTATTTTAGACCGATTATAGATTATTTCAGACGATTAATAGTTTTGATGATTGCAAACAGTTTTTAACATCAAGTCAAAACATTCAAGAAGACTGTGACAGACCTTAGAAGGTCATTGTGAGAAGTCCCAGTGGCTTGTTCCTCAGCCTGAACATCAACAGGGCTGCACGGCCGAGTAGCAGGAAAGTGAAATTGATCAGAGTTGAACAAGACTGATGAAAAGGAAACCCTGCATCAAGGAGGAAGGAAGACTGAAATTGCTTCAAGACTTAAATGTGTATGAAATTCAAACAGGGGGCTCTGGGACAAAGAATCACAACTGATAAGGAAACTCTGACGTCTCTGTGAGGACATACTAAGGCCACAGAGGTCATAAGCAGTCTGAGAGGACTGGAAGAGCAATGGGCAGTGTTGATACTGAGGCTGTTTCAGAGAGCTGTATTGTTTGTAACAGCACAGATGTTAATCTGGCCACTGAGTAAATTTAATGAAAGCATCCCTCACAACATCCCGCCTGGATAATAATATTTATCCAACATCACATGCAATTGTGCAATAAAGGGAGAGCATTCCGTTGAGTGCTGAAGTTTGGTACTCTGATAAAAATGTTATGTAAAGGGTTTTATAAAGCATTTCTTCATAATTAAGCCTCTGCATTGAGGCTTAGTTCAAGACTGTTACGATTTCAAGAATATAATTGATATAGATTTAATTTAATGGAGTTAAAACCCTTAATTACAGAGTTCTTCTTAAACCTGTTTGTGGACGTGATTACCTGCAAATCTTGCATTACAATCTTTATGATAATCAAATATTCAGCCAAAGGCAAAAACTAAATTGATTGACCACTAATCTGAATTTTGGAGGTGATGTCTATGGATGTCGGAGCTGCTTTTATGTGCAGTAGAGAAGGAATGTAAGATCAGCATTTAGACAACCTATTTATTTATTCGTTTATTTATTGAATCTGCTTAAAAGATGTTTAAACATCTTTAAGAGTTATGATGCAAAATAACTGCATAGCCTAAAAATGATTCTAGTATTCAGTATGCAACAGCATGTTCTGAAAGATATTATGCTTATATTCATATGCATTTTAATTCTTCAAGGAAAATAATGAGATTCTTTTGGAAATATGAAATTGTTATTATGTGTAAAACTTGGAATATGGTTGCTGCTAGTTCAGTTTTTTTTTAATGAATTTACTTAAATGTATTAATTTGACTTTGATGCCTGTTTTCATAGATTCTTTTCAGCTGTGCATTAAGGTCTACATTAAAACAAGTTTTCTGAACATAACATGCCATTTAAAAGTGGCATCAGGTTTCTTCAAAATTTTAATTTCTTGAACTTCATCAGAACTTAAGAATCTAAAAGGCACTTTAAACACTTTCGTGGTTGTATTTTTCCTGCAAGTTTCTAATGAGTCATCTTAGCATGCATCTTTATAGTTTAAACTGATTAAAATGAACAGGCTTTCTTTTCTTTTCTTTTTTTTTTTTTACAGTAAAGGCATTCAAGAAATATTTTGTTGCATTCATTTATTGACACTTTTGTTCAAGCTTCATCAGTGGTATTTCACAAAGGACTGATAAGATTTCACAAGAGAAAGCAACACATTTTAAGGAATGAAAAAATGTTTGTTCTGGCCATGGATTGGGTGTGGGATATTAAACAACAGTATGAGTGGGTATCACTTCAGATCATAAACTATTATAACAGCCACTTACAAGTATGTCAGGTTGTACATACTAAAAGTAATAATATATTATTTTTATGCCATATTTAACAAAAGTCATGTCTTCAGATGTCAAAAAGAACTTTAGATTTCTCACATGAGTCAAGGTTTGGCTGGTTAGCACAGTCCAGTTAGCCTCTACTGGCAAATGCTGTGACTGTCTCCATCTGTCTGCAAAAGGCATCTTTCTCCTTCATTCAAAAGTAGACATTTTTGTGACAAAATATTTTATATCATAAGTTTACTAGTGACTAATTTTGTTGCTCAAGTGATTGGATCAAAAAAATCATAAGGAAAAACCTGTACCAATATCCTTTACCAGACGAGCAACGTGAAATTTAGCATTGTGACAAAGAATGGTAATGTTAACAAACAGCTTTTATCTCCCTGAATTTTACAAGATCATTTCACAAATCACTACTAAAGGTCATTCACTTTCCTGCACAGACACACACTGTACTAATATTTAAGAATCACACCAGGAACTACAACATGTGTTATGGCAGAGGCACTGAATAATGGATTCCTCTTTAAAACACTTGAACACCATGATTACAGGAAACCTTTGCATTTCTGAAAAAAAATGCATTCCATCAAAGTGTGCTGAAAATAGATCTGCTTCGCTTGTGTTAAGACTAAGACAATGTAACAAGATGTGAAAAAGGGAAAGCATTACAATAGCAGTTTGTTAAGATTTTGAGCTGTTGTGTGTTTTCTTCTCTGTTTAAGGGTTTTTGCTTAGTCAACAGGTTCAGCCTCGTAGTCTGTATAGTCTTCTGATTAAGAAGCATTCAAGGAATTTTTCCATGTGGTTTTCCATTGCCAGATGTGAGGTCAAAGAATGACTTTGTATCAGCTGGGATTTCATGGTTCTTTGAAGTGTGTTTGAACTCATACTGTACTCCAATAGACATTAAAAGTCATGACTTCGGACTATTGGTTCATAATTTTGATGGTAATTTGTGTCTGGTGAGATAAACATTTAGGAGAATCTTAAAGGAACAGTTCAGCCAAAAAAGAAATCCATCAGTTGTGTTTCACACATGAAAGAAATCCATACAGGTTCGGAATGACATGAGAGTAAGTAAATGAGGACAGACTTTTCATTTTTGAGTGAACAATCCCTTAGCATTAAAATTTGTTCTGGAAGAGTTGTATAGATGGACTAGCAATGGAAAAATGTTGTGTGTGAGACACCTGTTGTGATGAGCAGCAAAGGAAGTGAGTTGTGTTTGCTTTGGCTACATGACCTGTGTTCACATAGTGTCTCTGCAGTCTGGGATCATTTGCACACACTCTCTTGGAGATCTATGAGGAATTTCAGACCACAGCTATGATAGTCCATTGGTCCACTGAATGGACACAAGCTCACGGAAAACATATCCACACTGTTGGTTATGAATTTTAGACATTAAATTACAAGAGCAAAAGATGTGCTGCGACTAAAGTCGGCCTAGTTGTATGAAAGGCACTAGTGGTAAACACAGAGAGACTATTTCATTTCATAAATGTTCTTTTTAATTGGTCAATATGTATCAATCTAAATAAGTTACAATTCTTCTGAGTGTTTGCAAAGCCTTGTAAATATACTTATCAGATAAATTTGCTCTGACAAGGCAGATATACTGTTTACAAAAATGATTCTGTATATTTCACACAAGACACAATGTTAAAATCAACACTAAGAAAAATGAAACCTCTACAAAAATATCAATAAATAACATCACATCTTATGTTGATAGATTTACTTACATCAGTATACAATTGCCATCATACCAAGCCTGAATAAAACCCTATATTTTTTTTGACGCGCACACCATAGAGGTGGTTTTAAATGTGACATTTCACATTTACATCTCATCCTCATTACTGAATAATCACAAAAGTTAAAAATATAATTTATAATATGCTATTAAACTGATAGATTATTGATAACCACCTCCTGATGAAGACAATCTAAAGACATAAAGTTAAAAAATGTACATGTGCAATAAAAACTGAACATAGCTTTTCAAAATCTTTCTTTGATAGGTAGACCGGCTTCTGTTGTGTATGAAATCATGTTGTGACATATCTATATATCTATTACATATCTTTCTCACAACCTCCTTTTTATCTTTTTAAACCAAACAAATTGCTTGCCTCTGCAGTTCACCTTAACAGATGGAACAAAGTGCAGGACGATGAAAAATCAGGCATGATTTGAGCAGAATCATCTCTTCTTTGAAACTCTTTCTAGCATTCAAAAAGTGTGATGTTTAACAATAAAAAGGGGGCTGTACAAAACGACTGACATATAGTAGACTTTTTTGCTGCTATTAAAGCATGACAAGTTTCAAAAGCAGAAATTATTCCTATTTTAAACATCTTGACATGAATGGACATAGTTTAGTTTTACAACAGTCGGTTTTATCAATTGAATCAGACAACATTTGGTTATGAGGCACCCAGCAGCATGTATGATACTGTACATGGCAGTGTAAATCAAGATATGACAGAGAGTTGAAATTATATTCAATTATTATAATTAGTGGGACTAAAACCTATTGTAGAAAATCAGAATTTATAATCATAAATAAAAACAGTTCAGTGTTTCAGTTTCAGCATGCAGCCAAATTTGATATATCAAAGCTTGCTGAGATACGTGTTGACAGAGAGGAACATCATTTTAAAGTTCACATCAGTTTTTTATTCATCAGTGCCTCCTAACCAAGTCTACAAAGAAGAAATAATGGATGTTTATCAGTGTGTTCTACTGGACATTCTCTAATCGAAGAAGAGGAAGGTAAAATGATGCCGAGATCACTGGGGAGAGTGTTAGGTTTTAAGTAAGCTTAAGTTCTGAGTTTCACACTAACAGTCCTCAATATCTCATAACCGCTTCGCCCCACCGACCCAGCAGCTGACAGGACTCAAGTCAGCCCACTCTTTTCTACAAAACTGACAGGCTTCTACAGGGAAAAAAGGGACAAAGGTTTTTCAGGGAAAAAAGGTCTGTAGCTTAATAAAAAAAAAGACCCTTTTTCTTTACAGAGAGTCAAGAAGCCTTGCGAGCACTTCTCCTCCAAAAATTCAACTTTCCTGAGTTTACGAATTGAAGAGCAAGAAAAATTTACAAGGAAAAAACACTACAGCATGTCTATAAATATTTCTGGGTTCCTGGGATGGTGTTTGATGAACCAACAGACCCATTTGAGATGCACCTTCCCCGAATTCGAACACCCCAGCAGTCGACTTACGACTGCAGACTACGCTGCAGAGAAGTTAGATCTGATGGAGTCTTCCCGCAACTGACGGTGTTTTCCAATGTCACACTCTTCTCGAGGTGTTCTCCGTTCAATGGTTATCCTGTAATTCTTCCTGAGGAGCGATGAAGAACAATATCATGAATGTAGATGTCAAGTATCAGCGTACTAATAACGTTCTATTATCTCAATAAGCATTTGGGCACTTAGTTCCCTATTGATACGGTTCACTCGTATTACGTTGCTAGACGCTTTGGGAAAACTCCTTTTTCTCCGAATACTGAAGCCTTATTGAATCAATCAGGGAAACTGTGCGAACCTACTATATACTATATACTGGGCTACCCCTACCCATCTATATAAGCGGGAAATCTGGTATAGGATCTCAGAATAATTCTCCTTTAGCAACAAAGATCTTCTCCTCGCTGGACGCCGAGACAAAAGAAGAAGCCTTCTCACCGTCGAACGAGCTTTGCCGCAGATCAAGCTGACTTGTTGCAAATGCCACGCCACAAATGCTTCTGACTTGGGTACCTAGCTTTTTTTTCAGAGAGTGGCTCCGCCCCTTGCGCTCTCCCGTTCCCTTCCTCCCAGGAACCTTGGAGAAAGAAACAGTCGGCCACGAGTGAGCTCACGTCAGCGCAGATCCCGCATGCCTCACTTTCTGCCTCCACTGCCTCTTCTGGCGCGAGTGACCTGGTCTCATTTGGGGGATCTGAAGAGGATCTCCCCGATGACAACATGTCACTGGCGGCTTCAAACACGGAGGATTGGTCGGGCTCAGAGGATGAACCCGCTTCGTCCCCTTACTATTCCAACATGGGACCTGTCTACGGGATCTCAGAGGCCATCCCTTCAAGCCACTCCAGTCAGCTGAGCTGCGCCCCCTTTCGCTAAAGACCGCCCTCCTGCTATCCTTAGCATCGGTCAAGCGAGTGGGTGACTTGCAAGCGCCATATGTTCTTGCAGTTTCACTGCACAGCCATAGGTTTGTGCAGTTTTACTGCGTGATTCAATAAGGCTTTAGTATTAGAGAAAAAGGAGTTTTCTCAAAGTGTCTTGTAACGCAATACTCGTTCCCGTTATCTCAGGGAACCGAGGTTATGTTAGTAACAGAGTACATTTTGGGCAGATGGTTCTAAAACAATAAAACTGAGATTTAAATTTCAGACACTTATTTCATTATAAATAAAATGAAAATCAAGTTTTTAACGTTGTTTATATGTCTATGTGGTGTTTTTAATATAATTTAGGACAAACCATGTGCAAATTATAAGTCAACACCATTGCTGAGTATTTTCTCCTTAAAACTGCAGTGAACCAAAGACAGTCTCAAAAACGCAGTTTTTATAATCGCCGGTGTTCCTTATGTCACAAACTACCTTGTAACCAATCACATCAACGTGTGGGCGGACTTTAGCATATCATTAACTATGCTCTGAAGCAGGGGAGTCTCAAGAGAAGCCAGGTTATCCCGGGAACGGGAACATGGTTTGTGCAACATATTATTAGCTGTTTGATAACGTAGTCAAGCTAAAGGCTAATTATATTAATTACCATTATGTGTTCAATGTTGTAGAGAGCGATACAGACGTAGACATTTTTGCGCTACCCGTTTTAGAAAATTTGTTTTCAGAGGAATGTTTTTTTAATGTGTCATTTTGGTGAACAAAGATGAGTTTTAAGGCATACAATTATTGACTACAGGGGGACTTTAATACATTGACCTATTTTATGGAGAAAAAAAATGTTTTTGGTGTTTACCTAAAGAAGTAGAATGCCATGAGGAGAGCTGTTCCCAGAATTCCCCCTACTATTAGCCCAGTCACTGCCGATACACCTAGTCCACCTGCTTAGAAAAGAAAATGAAACCATTTATAAGGAAAGCTGCACATAAATTATAATAATAAATATATGACACATGTGCATATCATGCTGTTACAAAAAAGTGTCAGTCTTTAAGAAGTAGAGGTAATTTACATGATGGTTCAATGTGTTTTGGGGGTGGAGGCCCTGGTGCTGTTCGCAAGGAGAACCATTCCTTCTTAAAGCCTGGCATGGTTATGAAAGTTCCATTGGTCCCAAAGTTCATGATAGTCTAAAGGCATAAAAAGACATCTCTTTCCTTACTTCAGACATAATTCTGGCACAAACATAGTAAACCAAATCCTGAAAATTAAATTGAAATGATTGAATTTCACTTACTGTCCTGACTTTTTTGGTCAAATAAAGCAGAAATGATTACATGCGCATACCTCGTGCGTTCCTGCCTCTGGGTCTGTCATCCTAACGACAGAGAAATCCCCATTTCGGTCACCATTGGCATCTAGAGACACCTGGCCAGCAATGCCTGTATAACGGAATGCGAGGAATGAGAAAATTAATTAGTTTGAAAAGTCAAACATTCCAAGGAAAACACCAGCAAGAATCGGCAAATTCCGGGTGGGCAAGACAACAGGAAATCTCATCCGCCTCCTGCCATTTTTGTTGGCTTTAACTGCAGAAATGGTAATTTCATCTGTACATCTGTGTTCGTGAATTCTTGAGATGTTTAAAATATTATTTAATTTAACAGGAAAACATGACCCTGTTCCTGATGATTCTGGCAGAGCAAAACATTGTTATTTCACGTTTAGTTGTCTTGCTGTGGTCATTGAGACAGGTCTGGGCCGCAGACATGTCTGAGCACCTATTTTGTAAGGGAAGTTTAATGAATTACAGTGGCAAGAATACTGGCGAACCCTCTGTTCGCAACTACAATAATGGGAATCAAATGTGGTGAATAATAATAATGGGAATAAAATGGGACTTGGTCAGTGTTCAGATTCCACTGTTCTTTTTGCACAAAATATGCATTACTATTTTCTTAATAATAAGCTTAGAGTGTAAAATATAATTTAATAGGATGTTGATTTCTTAAAGGACAAAAGTGTTTCCAACCCACCAACCAATTTATATGGAAAATTGCTATATACACTACCGTTAATAAATTTAGGTTCGGTAAGATTTTTTTTATGTTTTTGAAAAAAGTCTTTTATGCTCAGCAAGACTGCATGAATTTGAAATACTGTGAAAAAAAGTAATATTGTGAAATATTATAACAATTTAAAATAACCGTTTTCTATTTTATTACATTTTAAAACTTAATTTATTCCTGTGATGGATGAAGCTGAATTTTCAGCAGCCATTAAGGCCCATTCACACCAAGGATGATAACTATAATGATAACAATAAAGATATGGTTCTAAAAATCATTATAAAATGTAAAAGAATAGCAGAGTCCACGCCACAACTATGATAATGGCAAATATTAACAATATCGTTAGAATGACTTTCAGAACAGTTTTTTTTTTTCACCTAATGAAAAATAAAAACATTGACAACCAATCACGCATTTAAAGTGGAAGATGACAAAACTGCATTGCTTAGAATAAACAGAACAATATCATGCGTTGGTGTGGACGCCAATATAGTTATTGTTATATTTATAGTTATCATTGTTGGTGTGAATGGTCCTTTACTCCAGTCTTCAGTGTCACATGATCCTTCAGAAATTATTTTTAATATGCTGTTTTGGTGCTCAAGAAACTTTTCTTTGTGGAAACCATAAAAAATTGTTTTCAGGATTTTTTGATGAACAGAAAGTTTAAAAGAAAAGCATTTACTACTGTCAATACTGACCAATTTAATGCATCCTTTCTGAATAAAAGTATTAATTTCTTTAAAAAATAAAAACTTACTGACTCCAAACTTTTAAATGAAAGTGTATAGTGTATTGGTCCGTTGATAGTAAATAGGTTAAAATGGTCAAAATATGTAATTTGCGGCGGCTATTGTGACTATTGATAGAGTACTTATTCGATTAACATAATTTGTATAATTTAAATAAACAGGTAATTGATCATACTACAAACTGAGTGTGCATACTGTTATCAAGTTATATTGCTTCAAATCCCTTCCTTGCAAGTAATGTTATATTTTGTGGGTACTGCCAAAGTCTCATGTATAAAATAATTGCAATTCATAGAATGTGCTCTGTTATGCAGTGAACACATTCAGGGCCGTATGTTAATTTAATGCTGCATCCCAACCCTAGATGCACACATGCAAAATCAGCCTGATTAACCAAAGGGTTACGCAAGTGTAATGTTTATTTTCTCATGTAACCATCCTATTCTGACACCGTCTGGCTAGTGCAAGGTTTACTGCTGAGTTTGCTGCCACTGTTTACCTTCTCTGTTGCTGAACTTTAACACAAAATTGAACCAGTCAATTCTCCCACTTATGAGTATATATTTGCAATTAAGAACTACAGCTGCCGATTAATTTTTGTTATAAAATGCAAATTACAAGTATATGTCTGCCACAGTCCAGTATCCATAGTACTTTTGCGGGAAAAAGCACAGCATTTCTACCCCCTAATTACCTTCAAATGTTCTGTTCCACATGCTGTGTGTGATTTCCAGTCCATCCTTTTTCGTCAGACCGTTACTCATCACCTCACGCAAGGCAATTGCATACAGAAGCAAAGCATCATGGAACCCCTCCATAAACATATTGACCTGTAATGCAATAAAAGAGCAAGGTCTGAGGAACACTAGGTGAAGACAGCAATTTCTTAATCAAAATGATGTTTGGTTCCGAGAGACACCTCTATTCATCAACGAAAAAGGCCAATATCCAGGCTTTAACCCTTCATTAGCATATTAGAGTAAGAAATAGAGAAGTGATAAAAATGTTTCTATCCATCCCCAAACCCCTAAATCCTCTGCAGGGTTGCGGGGATGCAGGGTGCCTATCCCAGCGTTTCAGGCCACAGGTGGGGGACACCCTGGACGGATGGCCAGTCCATCACAGGGCTCACACATTTACACTCTCTTTTATATGAATTGTATTTTGTATTTTAATATCTTATTATTAATAAGATGTATTTTTGACATCTTTGTCTTTATTAAAATAGGGTAGACAGAGAGGGGGACGTGATCAGGAAAGGAAAACTCGAACTTAGGGTGTTGGAGTGCTGCCCACGAGGCTATTGGCTACAACAATATTTTATTATTCAAATAGAACATAGTATTTTTCATAAATAAAATGAATAAATACATAATTAAATATTTTTGAAATGGTTTTATAAATTAGTAAGTTAAGATAATACATTGATGATTAAATTTATAAAAAATTACATTGCCTCTATGAATTATTACAGTACACATGCATTTATTTTTCACATTTCATCAGTCTTTTATTTAATATTCGGCCCTCTATAACTCTCCTTGCTTTCTGAAGAAACGTTGCCCAAATTTTATTTATATAGATTTATAAGACATTAGTAGACAACTATGATCAAGCAAAGGTTATCATGAGAGAATCCAAGAGCAACTCATTTATCAATTTCATATTTTAGTAAAACTGCAAATGAATGAACTGCATGCAGTGTCTTCTAACATCAAGAGTGAAAAAGATGGAAAGGATCCATAAACAGCACTGTCTTGTTCAATGAAATGTTAACCAATTAAAAAATAATAAGGGCTACCCAGCCGCCATGAATACTGAAAAGCACGTACTAGTATGCTCATGTTTTGATATGGATTAATGGTCCGTTCCTGCCACAGAGCCGCATGCTGCATGTGCGCAGCCCAAGGCAAACAATAGTAAAACCTGGGGCTTAGTCAGTCTGCAGCCCGGGGAAGATTCGATATCCAGCTGCCAAGATTACTGTATATTTACATTCACCCTCAACTGCCTAATAAGAGTGAAACAGCAGGAAAAGCTGATATAGTCATATGACTGTTTATATACACATTCATTTTTGGAAGCGTGAACAGAGGTGAAATCTCCAAGCATTCAGAGCATAACAAACCCTGCCGTGTTTTCATACAGCACAGCTTGTGATTCAGCAACAAAATGTATCGGACAAAACATTCCTCATGCAAAAAAATGTCATGTTTTCTCATTGCGAAATAAACCCTGCTGATGTTTAAGATAAGGCACTATTGCTAACAGTTTGTGTAAAACTGATGCCATCTCAGTTCAAGAATGTGATATGAAAGAGATATAGAAGAGATTTTGATTAAATTTCTATTATTCTAACTAAGATGTAAAAGGAGAGGTCTCAAGGTCTGTCACCCTAGTTGAGATTTGTGGTTTTCCATCACAGTTTGCAGCATCTTTAAATGATAAAGTGATTTCTTACAAAAAAAATATTTTTGATTTATTTATACAAAAATAAATAAACCCACTGTAAGGTTTTTTCCCTTTTTCTATTGCCTAGCCTGGCTATTTTTGACTTTAAGTTTCACAATCTTAATCTTAATCTCACTTTTGTTTATCTCATAAAACTTTTAAATTGACTAAAATCAGTTTCTTATTTATAAAGCATATATATATATATATATATATATATATATATATATATATATATATATATATATATATATACACACACACACATATACAGTATATAATATATATATATATATAATTTTAATTTTATGTGTTACATTGCTCCATATTGGGTGGGGAGAGAGAACTCCATAACGGGACTAATTCATAATTGGCTCTGCATCATTAGAATTAATGTAACTCATCCTCAGGGCTCACTGGACTCACTGTTTTTGCCCATAAGCCTGTTTCTGTTTATTTGGGCTGATTAACTTCAGGCTCTGGCATGAAAAGGTGCAACCGCATGTCAGTTTCCTCACCCTGGTGAAAAAATTACCCAGTGGAGTCTCACTGTCCCTACTAGGTATGCTAGGACAGAAAGGCCAGAACAGAACTTCTAAGACACCATATATGGAGAAACAAATATGAAAAATGAAAGAAAAAATATAAATGACCCAATGGGAAATTATGTTTATTATGATGTTCATTTATTTTTAGTTTGCTTGATTTAATAATTTCCGCAATAATCAGTTAAACATATTAATTCTTTCACTTATTTATATCTATATGTAATATTTGATTTTACTTATTTTCATATTTTTATTTCTTCATAATGGAATGCAATGAGAGAATGAAAGACAATCAACTGTTCAGACATCATCTATTTTGTACGTGAAGAGCTTGTAGTCATTTAGAATTCAGTCGCTGCAGAATAACTTTTTCTCGTTGATTGAAGACCACTCGAAACCTTAAATGATGAAGCCTTTCATATGATTGGTGAAACCTCTTCAAATGATAAGAATCAGAGTCCAAATGCAAGGACTGAGTCATATATATTCTGTGATGACCTGTTGTGAAAACCTTCACAGAAATATAAAGATCTTATTCTTTATCCATGTACCACAATTAAATTATAATGCATTGTTTAAAGCAACAGGTGAGGCAGCGAAATGTGTTTAGTTCTCTTATTATACTGGAGAAAGAAATTCCAGAAACAATATAAATAAAATAAATACATGCAGAAATTAATTATTCAATTAGTAGATTAATGAAAATATGATAAGTATATTCAATTCAAAAATACATTTCATCTCATTGGGGAGACCCACATGGGTCATGTATTCTTTTTTTTTCATTTCAAGTATGTATTTATAAATGTAATATTTAGTCCTCCATAGTTCCCCTTTCTTTCTGATCAAACATTCCTTGAGCATTATTTTGCATGAATTATAAGATAGAGAAATGTGATAGAGTAAAGGCTGTCATGAGAGAATTATATTGGTCGTTATCGCAGGTCTGTTCTGTTTTTGATCAAATGGAGACGATTGAAGCGGAATGACCTGCTTATAATAAGTCTGTGACTTCCTTTGTTTGTCTCGGTTTAACCAATCGGCCACAGTGTGTTCAGATCCTGTGAGATGGTTTTAGGGACCCTTAATGGTCAGCAGGGTTGTTAAGAAGGAAAGGAAAGAAGCAATCAGGGGTGGCCTTAAATTCATGTGCAGTCTAGTGTATTGAGTTCGATCATCTCTAATGAATGTGCCTAGTTGCTTCGCTGATCCTCTTTTGAGGCAGTTCTACTCAAGTACAAACGTAAATATACATCTTAGAGTCAGTCGCCAAGCTTTAAAACCTCATTACTGGAATTTGACCTTAAATTGCTCGACTTTAACACAAATCACCTGATTTAAGAAGCTGTGGTTGGATTATACACACCTGAGAAGATAGGTATTTTATAAATGCTAAATCTGTGCAAAAAGAATTTCTAGAGATTTGTTGAGCCTCAATGGTTTTGTCATGCTGGAACTTGATAATCTGCAGTGACGCACGACGACGGGCGAGCCGAAATTAGATGAAAATAAGTAACAGATAAACCTGAGGGCCAACAGATGACAACTATTACTAAGTAAGATCAAATACATGTCAGTCTGACCAAATTCACAGTTTCCTTCTTTTGAAGAGATGACGTTTCTCAACTAGAAACAGTTAATGATGCTGAAGAATGTTGCCTGTTTTTAAGATCATTTTAAAACCTTTTCTTCTGAGAGTATTTTGCAAGTGGAAAACATGGAAGAAACTTTGGAGAAATCCAATCAAACACATAAAACATAAAATACATTATACTGAATACATAAAACATGTTCCTAATGACTGTGGTAATCCAACACACCCACCTACTGGTCATCAGAGCATAAAAATACCTTTTTTTTTACAGACTCAGTCATTTTAGTCACTAAGGACATATGATTGACAGCACCTTTGGATCTAAAACAGCACTTTTTAAATATATATATTTCACGAATCTTTTAAAGGTCTTACTTTGTAGCTGGATTATACAGCCTAGCTTCTAGAATGTTAACAGTGGAAACTGTCACTTATCCAGAAGATTTACGTTATGCATATGGGGGGCTCTTTGCAAATGAGTACGGCTGCATTTCCTGGCAGCTAGTATGAATTGCTTAAATCTGTGCAGATGCTCATAAGAACACCACTCACTGTAAGCCAATTCCAAAAAATGTATCACCTTCCTTAATGAATAAAGTGAGCATTCTTCAGCCAGCTCATTAATTCAGCATGTCAGAAATATAAGTCAGAAAAAACTGAGCAGATACAAGCGGTAGCTACAAGCAAAGGGCCAAGTTTGTGAAACATCACATTAGCCTGTACTTCTGTCAGGTAAGGCTTCTCTGGGAAGTGTACTCATACAGTGAAATAATTGTGCTTGGCACACTGAAGTCTTGACATTCATATTTGGAACGAGAATGGGCTTTGTCTGAAAACATTTCTATATGGTAGTGGTCCCCCACAAAGGTCCAGCTCAAATCTTTTGTGGCTCCAGTTGATACAGCAATTGAGCCAGTCAGAAGTGTCAGGGCCCCCACTGAGGTTATTAACCTTGGCACTTTGATTCATCCACAATTATTTATTTCAGAAAGAAAGTTTCCACTGTCTTTCTTAAAACTCTGATGGCTTTTCAAAGGAAGCTGACATGATGGGGACAAAGAGCCAGACCAAAATATGGGGCCTATATGGAACGCCAAGTCACTCATTCAAAAGCACTTAAAGTGTGAGTGCACTGTATTCTAACTTTAAACTGTGTGAATAAAAGAATCAGCAGCTCTCTGAATATTGCAGGCCACAAAATGGATGGAATTGCAGAAAAGAGAAAAATTTGATTGATTGACTGACTGGCTGACTGAATGACTGGCTGATTTGCCTGTATATTGTTAACAAAGGATGGTGTGTTGTAAAATAGCCAAGAAGATTCTGCATATATATATATATATATATATATATATATATATATATATATATATATATATATATACACAAATTAAATATATATTATATGTAAAAATAGAAAATTAAAATAAAAGGTGAAACGTGAATAAAATATCTAATATGAACAGATAAAAAAGAAACAAAGTTCTTTAGATCTTATATAGATGAATACGATGAATACTTTAGATGAATACGAAAATATTCAATATATATTTTTAACATTATTTTCGTTTCAAAGACTCACGTACAGCACTGCAGTCTTCACAAACAGGGATGCCCGACTGCTGTAGTGACTTTTTCATTTCCATGGAGAAGTCTTCAAACTCTGGCTTAGTGGACCTAAGCAATGTTACAGTGTTGAGAAAGCTATAGGCAGCCTTGGCCTCATTGTCAAATTTGTCTCCTCTCCTCCAGGATCCATCCCCTGTGAAATAATGTTGTGTTTTTAATGTAATAAATTCATGTTCACATGAACATATTGCAAGATTTGCTATAGAAAAGTATGTCTCTCAGGTTAAGAGCATTATACAAGCGTGTTTTGCCTGTGTCTGCTGATAAAACCTCAATGACAATGGGTAAAATATATACCCAGTTACATTTTCTGCAACAATGGGGCTTTTAGACATAAACAGGAACATCAGTGGAACATCCTGGACCTGCACACCAAACAATATCCAGGCACTTTTGTGTTGAGCCAAATATCTCTTGAATGTAATCTCTATGAAGCAGAAGACCTGCAGATAGCTTCATTGTGCTACAAGGTCATAGGACTATCTTGTCTGACTTTGGCTCATCTTGGGAATAGAGATAAGCTCTGTAATCAGTGCACAACAACCATGAATACAGCTTTACCATAGGAAGAGGAGTTGAAGAGCTCGATGTTGAAGAAGATGTGGCTGTCGCTGGTTAATTTTCGTCGATGAAATGCCAGCATGAGTTCTCGTATTTTGTCCGCCTTGGCACACATAATCACCACTGCAAAACAACAAGGAACAGATTGTTATTTGCCATTCAAAATAACAACTTTAAGCTACCATCTCCACCTGGGTTATGAGTATACAGTAATGTCAAAAGGCATTTATGTCTAGGTTGGGGAGCCAAGAAAATAATAAACAAAATAAAATAACGCGACTGAATGATTTTTATTGCGTTCCGTTCTCGCACGTGTCTTCCAATGATAACGACGGTACACAGACCTAAAACACTCTGAAAGTGTTCCCTGCCTAACTATTCAGCATGAAACATTCAGAACGAACGACTCTTCTGAGCAGGTTCTTTTTGCTGATTATAAAACAGAGCACGACCAGTGAAGTCCGATTCCAGAGCAAAAGACTGGTTCTTTTTAATGAATCACAACTTATGACTCAGTTGGAGCTGTTTCTCAATGAATCTGACTCACATACTGAACCACAAGTCATTGATATTGTCATTTACAACTCCAAAAACTGATACAATGTTAAGGCTTGTGAGACCTAAATCAGTTACTGACTGGTTGTTAATATGATAATACTGTATGCACCAGAACCGGAATCATCATTTTCCTTTACCATTTTTATTTATGGCAGAGAAAATAAAGCACTGTGTCCTCATAAGAGTTTTACAGACCATGAAACCAAGATGCACATTAATGTACTGTATTATCGTCATGATCCTGAGAACACGTTCAGTGCTGTTCGTTTAAGATTAATTATGACCTTTTTGCTACTGGCCAGGTTTACAAGAACATGTGGCATTGATTCAATTATGTAAGCACAAGCCTTTAAGTATCATAGAATAGCTTATTTTTGACCTGGTCTTACAGAAACACAGTCTCAGGTATGAAACATATTCCCATGGAGCAAGGAGGTCAAAAATAAATAAACAAACAAGCAAGCAAACAGAGTTTAAAATAATAATAATAATAATATTCGCAAAGTGTCCCATAAATAGGAAGATTCAGAGGATTGGAACTTTCCCCACAGCTCAGTCAGTGTAATGCGCTGCTTGAAATATCCTCAGCTGAGTGGGACAAACTTCACCTCAGTATTCCTGCACTATAGCACCCTTTAATTACAGAGCGCACAGCACACTACAGGCCCTGTGTTGGCTTTCCAGCGATTCCATGGGGTACAGCTCCAGCCAGCAATATTTCAAAAATCTGGATTTTTCCCACTGACACTAGTTACAAATGAGCTGAGGAATGCAAAGGGGCAACACATGGCACACTTACCGTTGGTTGTGCCACATTTAATGCACCTGGGGGTCTATATAGACGCATAGAGTGAACGTGCACATGGAAATAATATCGCTTTGCAAACTTGTGCTATATCGCTACATAGTATAAGGGTTTACTGTCTTGCCCCTCTGTCCAACTTTGGCAGCATGGCACATAATGCAAAATAAGCAGGGCTATAATGACATGTGTCTGGCTTAGAAAATTCACTCCCTGAGGACCACTCAGCCAGTTTGTGCTTCTGTGCTCACGTCATTCACTGTCAAAACATTGCAACACCGTATTCCATCCTCATTGAAATGTTATCTTCTGACATTTAGCATCGGTGAGGAGATCTGACAAAATATATGTTCATATATATATATACTTATCTATATAAGTATACTTGCAGCCAGACTAATTTAGTATACTTCAAGTGTGTCAATGATTAGTTAACTAGAAGTGTGCTATTTTGAAACAACTAATTTTGTAAAAGTATATTTTAGTTGTAATTAAATTGTAGTAAAGCATAACTTTTAGTGTACTTTTGTGTACTAAATTGGAACAACTTCAAGTATACTTTAAGTATATGCCTGTGTAGGGACTAATTATGCTTGATTAGTGATATTAAAGTAATATTACTTTAAGTATATGCCTGTGTAGGCCGCAACTAATTATGCTTGATTAGTGATATTAAAGTGTACTTTAGTCGTCGGACGGTGGAAGGAATACTTCGAGGATCTCCTCAATCCCGCCGTCACGTCTTCCATTGAGGAAGCAGAGGCTGAGGGCTCAGAGGTGGACTCGTCCATCACCCTAGCTGAAGTCACAGAGGTAGTCAAGAAACTCCTCGGTGGCAAGGCACCGGGGGTGGATGAGATCCGCCCTGAGTACCTCAAGTCTCTGGATGTTGTGGGGCTGTCTTGGCTGACACGCCTCTGCAGCATTGCGTGGCGGTCGGGGACAGTGCCTCTGGGATGGCAGACCGGGGTGGTGGTCCCTCTTTTTAAGAAGGGGGACTGGAGGGTGTGTTCCAACTACAGGGGGATCACACTTCTCAGCCTCCCAGGGAAAGTCTATGCCAGGGTACTGGAGAGGAGAATACGGCCGATAGTGGAACCTCGGATTCAGGAGGAACAGTGCGGTTTTCGTCCAGGCCGTGAAACACTGGACCAGCTCTATACCCTCTACAGGGTGCTGGGGGGTTCATGGGAGTTTCCCCAACCAATCCACATGTGCTTTGTGGATTTGGAGAAGGCATTCGACTGTGTCCCTCATGGCGGCCTGTGGAGGGTACTCCGGGAGTATGGGGTCCGGGGTCCTTTGCTAAGGGCTGTCCGGTCCCTGTATGACCGAAGCAGTAGCTTGGTTCACATTGCCGGCAGTAAGTCAGACTTCTTCCCGGTGCATGTTGGACTCCGGCAGGGCTGCCCTTTGTCGCCGGTTCTGTTCATAATTTTTATGAACAGAATTTCTAGGCGCAGCCAGGGGCCGGAGTGTGTCAGGTTTGGGGACCACACGATTTCGTCTCTGCTCTTTGCGGATTATGTTGTCGTGTTGGCCCCTTCAGACCAGGACCTTCAGCATGCACTGGGACGGTTTGCAGCCGAGCGTGAAGCAGCTGGGATGAGAATCAGCACCTCCAAATCCGAGGCCATGGTCCTCAGTCGGAAAAGAGTGGCTTGCCCACTTCAGGTTGGTGGAGAGTTCCTGCCTCAAGTGGAGGAGTTTAAGTATCTTGGAGTTTTGTTCACGAGTGAGAGAAGGATGGAACAGGAGATTGACAGACGGATCGGTGCAGCTTCTGCAGTAATGCGGTCGATGTACCGGTCTGCAGTGGTGAAGAAGGAGCTGAGCCGCAAGGCGAAGCTCTCGATTTACCGGTCAATCTACGTTCCTACTCTAACCTATGGTCATGAGCTTTGGGTCATGACCGAAAGGACAAGATCCTGGATACAGGCGGCCGAAATGAGCTTTCTCCGCAGGGTGGCTGGGCGATCCCTTAGAGATAGGATGAGAAGCTCGGTCACTCGGGAGGAGCTCAGTGTAGAGCCGCTGCTCCTCCACATCGAGAGGGGTCAGCTGAGGTGGCTCGGGCATCTGTTCCGGATGCCTCCTGGACGCCTTCCCGGGAAGGTGTTCTGGGCACGTCCCACTGGGAGGAGACCCCGGGGAAGACCTAGGACACGCTGGAGGGACTATGTCTCCCGGCTGGCCTGGGAACACCTCCGTGTCCCCCCGGAAGAGCTGGAGGTAGTGTCTAGGGAGAGGGAAATCTGGACATCTCTGCTTAGACTGCTGCCCCCGTGACCCGGCCCCGGATAAGCGGAAGAAGATGGATGGATGGATGGATGGATGGATGGATGGATGGAAGTGTACTTTATTTGTGTTACAAGTATATTACAAATTCATTACGAGTGTCTTCGAAACATAAAAGCAATATAGCATAAGTGTCTATTGCATAAGTGTCTATATATATATTGTTTTATTTTTGGCATTTTTGCCTTTTATTAGGATAGGACAGTGGCTAGACAGGAAGTGAGGTGGGAAAGAGAGAGAGGGGGATATGGAAAGGTCCACGAGCCGGACCTCAAACTCGCTATATGTCGGCGCACTTGCCCACAAGGCTATCGTCGCCGACCATAAGTGTATTATATTTGAGTAAAAAATATATGCTCAGTAATACCTTATTGGCTTATTCCAAATACTACAAATTGCTCACTTTGTCTTCAATAACAAATGCACATTAATAAACAAATAATACTTAGCTATACTTTGTAAAAAATACTATTGTTGTATACCATAATGTATTTTGAAAGTATACTTTCAATGCATTGTTATAATGATAATTTCCAGCACATAGTTAAAATATACCTAAAATATATTTTAATTTTCACTTCAAGTATATTTTTCTAAAATATATTTTTAGAAAATATACTAAAGTACAATTATTTCAAAGTGTGTTAAAAGTTGTATTGTGAAAATAGGTAAAAGCATGATGCTAATATACTTTTAATATATTTAAAGATAGTAAAAGAAATTGTTAGTATATTTGCAATGTACTATTGAAAAAGGGAATATATTTCAAATATTTCAAGTATTTTTTTTTTCACTAGGGATACGTTAAAAAAAGTAGTATTTATAATAGGGATTACATCTACTACATCTTTTATATGTTAGACATTCAACAGCTAGGTGTCGTTTCCGTGTCCAAACACTCTATCAGATGCCAAAAGCAAACAGCAAAAGGTGCTAATATAAACTCATGGTGTGATGTCATAGCACCAAAAAAATCATAATCCTAACCTTTATCTCCATACCGAAATCTCAGATGGCCAGCGATTCATCTTTATGAATCGTTAAAATATTGGTGTTCGGGACACTGTGAGCCCAGAGACTGTATTGTACACCTTGTGTTTTTAAAAGCTTAGCTGAAACTAGTAGAGGCTTGGACCCGAAAACTGTATTTCTTATGTCATGACTTAACAAGCCGATTGTTACCAATGTTGACACTCATCTTTCAATTATACCCGATTTGTACCTGATATTGAGCACAAAACACTCCCACTCCACAGTTTAGCATCATAGGTGCTATTTTTTTTTTTTTTTTTAATCAGCTCTCATGTGCAGGCTGGGCCATATGTCATTAAAGTTATCTGTATTTTATTACATTTGCTTCAGCTGTGCCAACAGACACACCACAGCCTCGTGCAACAGGTTCAAAACTGCATAGCGAAGACTGACAGCAACAAAAACAAGGGCATTGCAATGGCCAATGAATCAAATCAGGCGTCACTGGCGCTGGAGAATATCCCAATGATGTCCTTTAAAGATGACTGCAGGCAAACAAAAACTTTTTGGCAACCTGTACTGGATTGTTATTATGAGAAACTGTGTGAAAGAGTAGATACTGATGAATGCTGTTATTATAAGCAGCCACATAAATCAACTTGCTTACATGCTTGTGTCACTGACCACTGAACACAGTTGCAGTCTGCATTTTGAAGTTAAAATGATATTTAACAAAAAGGAAAAAAAATAACAAGCCATCAGTAGTGACAAGTAGTTAAAATATGTACAAACTCATAATGTAATTTATTATTTTGACACCCAGATTCATTTAAGCATATTTGCCATCTGTACTGTATCAGTACTTGCTACTACAGTACTTACACCACTGCAGCCTTTCATGAGCAAACAATGAAGCATCTACCATGCCTGGAATACTAATTTCAATGCCAGCAATCAACCTCATGGAACAGGCTGCATCATTTAGCATTCAAATATATGCTAATTTATACAGTGGCTATGTCAGAAATTGATGGTAATATAAACACAAACGTTTATGCTCATAAGGTTATAGCCAACTATATAAATAAAATTAAAAAATGTACGTGATATTTCCTTTTTGAAACAGACCAATTCTGGTAGATTTTATTTTGGAAAAATGTCTGCTTTAGTACTATCACAAGCTCCTTAAAAACACATAGTTTTGAACTGCTGCTCTATGGCTGTGTCCTCAACTGGTGGGTCGCAGGTCTGTTTTGGTAGCAATGCTAAATCCCAATAATACAATGCAACTAACCATATAATCATGCATAATTAGGATAGCCAAATAAATAGGCTTACCAGTTTTCAAAAGGCAGAAGAAAAGATTCCCATATCTTTTGATGCTGAATCTGATGTCAAATAAAACTGTACAGTATTTGGGCCCAATAACAACTGTCACTTGGCAGAGGCTGGCATGGACAGGCAGTGGTGTCGCTTAAAAGTCGCAATGGAAGTAGCGAAAGATCTTTTCTTCAGTATTCTGATGTACATGTATCTGAGTGAAAAAGATTATCGTAAATGAAAAAAATGTATGACGGGGACTTTGATCTATCCATCAGCTGTTGATTGGATTGAGGCTAATCTGAATACGATCTTGCAGTCGAGTGTAAGAAAAGGAGCGGGGATTAAGCAGACTTAAATGATTGACCCTCATCACGGAGTCCCCCAATGGTGATGATCCTGTGGACAGGTTGCTTGAAATACCCACATCCTCGAAAAAACAAAACTGTCCATACTGTAGTCGAAAGACTTTTGGCCATACTGCTTGTTTAATGTAAATTTAATGTAAAAAATGGCAGCATTTCTCATAAAATACTCGTACTTTTGCAGAGAAATGACACCGCTTGGAGTGTATTCTGTGACTATAATTGTGCAGTTCAATGTTATCCTTCAGGAGACACTTGAAACAGATGTCAAATTTTGCCCTGAGTATTTGGGTGGTGGCCTGAAAAATGCATCCCATCACTGAGATTCCACATTCAAATCTCTGCATGGCCTGTGATGGACAGATCAAAGGAAGTATATGTCATTATACTTGGAGCATTCCATAGCTGCTGTGAGGGATCGCAACATGTTGAGGACCTCTGCTGTGAACTGGTAGAAAAAGGAAAGAATTATAAAAGGCCTCAAGAGCTGTTACCCTGTCATTGTTAGTGTCAAAACAGCCCCAAGACAGCATTAACCTCTTACCCCGTTTCAGTCATTCCATACTGACATTTTCAGAATTGGTGGAACATTCCTTTAATTACAAGCGTTCACGCAATATGCAATATTAGCTTAAGAAACGTAAGATGTTCATTTCAACGCACAGGGCTGTCTTAGGAAAGAAAGTGATACAGGGCCCTTGTATTGAGGTATATGTGTATATTTTCTAAAATCGACAACATCCTTGCTAGGAATGTGAGAAATGCACTGTTTATGAAACAGGATCAGTAAGGAGGTGCACAGTCAGACTTTCTGTGAAACGCCACAGATTTGGGGCAGACGGATAGGATGTTTGAAATAAGGATAACTGCAGACAGTTCATAGTATTCACAGCAGGCATATATTTTAGCGCCACAATGTATCCAACACCAATAGTAGCAGAGTGAGCTCCAGGGAGGGTGTATCCTCTCTGGTTATTGAGAAACAGTCAGGCAGACCGCACATGACTTTACCCGCCATGAGAAAAGCTGTTAAAAAGTGCTTGAGGATGTCTAGGGGAGTGCTAAAGCCTACAATTGCTCCCCAAAATTCCTACAGCTCTTGCTCAGTGTTGACCGCCTGTCAAAATTCTGATCATTTTTTCCACAGGCTTTCTTATGGACTGCAACTGACCTCTTATCTATCTTTATAGACGGGGAGCTTGAGGAGATCAGGAAAGGATCAAAACAGCCCTAGTTAGGAAAATATCTACATTTGACACGTTTGTATATGTTCTATATTGCTCTGTTCTTGGTCTGTTGCGACATGCTCCAGTTTGAGATTGCTGTTAGGATTACTAATGTATTATCATTTGGTATTATACAACACTTCTGGAAAAACTATGTTCCAGTTTAAACTAAAAGAGACTTAATATCATAAGGAAATGTGTTGACCCCCTTTTGACCTGTGAATAGAAGTGAGTCACAACTTACTGCAGCGAACAGCCACTGGTGAAAAAAAAATATGGCTGCACAGAATTTTCAGATTTTTTTTTCAAGCTAATATTATCTATGGTTTCTAAACATTTTGTAAGTTACGTTACGTACCCCTACAGTACAAACCATTTAAGTACCCCTTTATCGTCACCAAATCTGAACTGTCTCCCATTTACATCATGTTATACTGAAATTCCTTCATTTGGAAATATGCAGTCTTTTCTATGCTATTTAGTATCAATGTGGATTACTACCACTTGTGGTGTAGTCTAATAGTTAAGATCTAGTCTAGTAATTGAAAGGTGTCTCTGCTGCAAGTCTCTTCAGAGACCTTCGCCTGTTTAGAGTAATTGAAAAGTATCAGGCTCAAACCCAGCAAGTTGCCATCCATTCCACTTGTGCAAATTATCCCCTTCTGGCAAGAAACTTCTCCAGGGGATTGTGCTTTTAACAAATGTATGTAAGACACTTTTGGCATCTATGGCAAGCCATTTTATTCCTTAAAACTATTAATCAGTAGTACTTGTAAAGGCGGAGTACATACTATTGGTATAGAAGAAAATAAAACTAGCACCTAATGAATTAGTTACTAGTAAAAGAGAAATAGGCAGAAGCGACAATTGGAATATAGGCTACATAATATGAAGTATTATTAGTCTGAAGTGAACACTATTACTTAATTTCAGAACCTCATGCAATTCAATGCCAAAAACGTGCAACTTCTTACACGGTTATTGCATAATGAATAAGGCTACTAGTGACTAATTAAATACATACTAGTATCTATAAGTATTAAGATATAAAAAAAATACTTGTAGCTAATGAAAAAGTGTACAGAAACAAAATAGATATTAATTCGTCTTGAGGAATAAATGTTAAAACGGCTTGCGTAAAGCATTTAGAAGGCTAATGGACGAGTGAACGAGTACCTTCGCTCCCGTAGATGGACGTGATGATTCCGTCGGTGTCTACTCTCTCCTCGTGCGAGTTCAACACAGCGAGATCTGTGACGATGTGGTACTCTGAAAGCACTGTAAAAACACCCTCCATCGTAAAGTAACAGTTTCTCTCGTCTTTATCATCTTCGTAAATCAAATATACCGATCTCCAAGTGAACTTGTTGGATATCGCCTGAAACGTCTCAGCCATTTTCAGGTAATTTGGTGCGATTCGTGTGAGATGCGAGTACTCGCTGTTTTTCTCCCTGAAGCCGGTGGCCAGTGCACCTGCTGAGATCACCGGGATGTTCCAGTGGGCTGCAACTCTCGTCACCGGCGCGGCCGCGTAGTCGCACACCGGACCGAGGACCAGGTCGGGACGCTCTTCTCTCTGCTTGTCCACGAGCGCGTAGAGAGCGTCCACCCCGCACCCGGAGTTCTCATAGCGCACATTGAATTTCAAGCCTGCAAACAGTTCTGATCTCTCGAGGGTTTTTCTCGCGTACTCAATAGCCGGAGAAACTCTCTGGTAAGAGAACAAGTATGTGTTGTTGCGAGGCAACACGACCATCACCTCGATGTTGTCATTCAGTGCACTTGTCCTGCCAGGCATCATGAGTACTACCCAAATGGACAGACATAGTGATATGAAACATGACATCTTTGACACCATTGAACGAATAACCTTATTTTCTTTTTTTGCAAAGAGCCTACGCTTTTTAAAGTTTTTTTTTCTAGCAAGTAGATTGCTATATAAATTAAGATGTATCCTTAATTGAACTTAAGTATGGCAAAGTCCCACTCTTTCTGTTTATAAGTGAGTTATGTCTCTTCTGCAAGTCTCTCCAGAGCCCCTCTTTCTTCCCCTGTTTGGAGTCTTCTTTGAGTCTCTGTCTAACTCTCCGCTTGCCTATGTAATTACTCTTGTTAGGATGTGTGAAGTGTGCGGCTCGGCTGGTCACCACACACGCTGCAGTCTAGCAGGAATTTTCAAGCATCCTTTCATTATTATTCCTGCGTCATCGCTGTGCAGCCCGCCCTCTCCCACTTAAAGCTACAGTGTCGCAATTCATGACAGCCCACAACTTCAGTCTGGATTAAATGATCAAGGTATAGTGTTCACACATTACAATTTCAATTTATTTATTGATTTATATTTAAATATATATATATATACATATATATATATATATATATATATATATATATATATATATATATATATATATATATATATAAATAAAGATATGTCAAGTTGTTTTCAGTTAAAACATCTCAATACGGCATTTTAGTTTAGCATAGGCTTAAGCCTGGTCTGTGAAACAGGGGGAATAAGTTTTAATAATAATTGATAGGCTCCCCTTTTTTAGTCCCAGTTAGAAATCTAGCCGTAGCAGTTTGCACCAGTTAGAAATCTAGCCGTAGCAGTTTGCACCAGTTATAATCAATCAAGTGCTGATTGCCTGCATAAAGTAATCTAGTAATTACTGTTGCATTATAGTGCAATGACATAAATCCAAAATCATACTTCATGGCATCAATAACAAGTAGGCTATACATACTTGCTACTGCATTTGGGTTGACGAAGGAACAAAATGTTCCATATTATCTGTAGTGTGGACTAAGTGACATTCACTGTAAAGGGAATAGTGAAGAGTTAATGATTTTGGGCACACCAAATGGTTCCCTCAAGATATTATTTCTTGGTTAATCTATAATTTTATGGTGAAATAAAACTTGTTGTTTGTTTATTAGCTAACACTTAAGCAACACTGCAATTTTACGGTAATCATTAAGGATGCAACATGTTTGAGCTGAAGCAGTCAGCAGTTGGTAATCAGTCTTTGGTGTGTTGAAAAACACCTGCACACAAGAAAGACAGCAAGAACACAAGCAAGATGACCCGCTTATGTAAAATGTTCATAATACAAACTTCTGACTAATGTTAGCAGATAGCTCATCATAATTCACCATTGTGATGTAAACAGAATTTACTCCAAATGATGGTATTTATGTTTTTTTTACAAAAGAGATTTACAAACTAATTTAAAGAATTTAAATCATGAAGTCATTAAATAAACATTAAATCCTCAATCAATAATCTTCTTATCTCATGTTTTATATGACATGCCAGATTTTTGATAGCCGACTGTTCTCTGTCTGGACCTCATATCCATCTATACAAACGTTTAGCTTTCTTCAACTGTTTAAGCACTATTATAGTGACATCTAGTGGTAGAATTAGAGCAACACATCACAGATTTGACTAAATAATATGCAGGTTTTTGAAAATGGATGTAATGTAGTTTGAAATATTATATATGTATATTATACTATGTATAATATTGCTCTGTATAACCATATTTGTATACTACTTAGAATGATGTATAATAATGCAACAAAAGTGTAAATTTAACGGTAAGACTCAGAGAAAGAGCAAGCACATTTCAGAATAAGAAGGCCTTATAGCAGGACAGATTTAGCGGCAGATTAAAAATGACTCAGCCAAACTCTCCAGATGAAATATTTCTTATTCACGTCAATGCTAAATGGTGCGCTGAGTCTGTGGCTTCAGTCAATGAGACTGTTCTGAATCCCAGCTCCTATGATTGCCCCCATAGGTATTACATTTTGGCTGAATAAACTAAATGGATATAAAGATAGCAGCAACTAAAAGATCCATTCAGAGAACTGCAGTGAAGTACGTCCCTGTAATTAGCTAATGGCCAAAGTACAACGACAGTCCTGGCAGACCTAGTACTCCCACATAAATAAGACTCCCTGTTTCCTGAGATGCAATATGCTGAGAGTGTCTTTTATTCTGTGGTCCTGGGTGTAGTTCTCCCATGGGATTGCTATGGTTACTGAATCACAAAATTGTTCCAAAAATGCTCCATTGCCATTCTTTGTAATAATATCTTTTTGCAATTACACTACCGTTGAAAAGTTTGGGGTCGGTACGATTTTAAATACTTTTAAAAGAATTCTCTTCTGCTAACCATGGCTGCGCTTATTTGATTAAAAATACAACAAAAATCAGTTATAGTATTAAATATTATTCCAGTGTAAATCAGCTGTTTTCTGTGTGAATATATAGTAAAGTGTAATTTATTCCTGTGATCAAAGCTGAATTTTCAGCATCACCAGTGTCAGTGTCTTCAGTGTCAAATGATCCTTCACAAATCAGTATAATATGAGGATTTGATGCTCAAGAAACATTTATTATTATTATCAATGTTGAAACAGTTGTTGGTCTGTCAGTTGTACAGTTTTTTTTCTTTGATGAATAGGAAGTTCAAAAGAACAGCATTTGTTTGAAATAGAATCTTTTGTAACATTATAAATGTCTTTACTGTCCTTGATAAATAAAAGTATTGATTTCTTTCCTCCAAAAAATAAAAATAAAATTCTCACTGACCCCAAACTTTTGAACGGTAGTGTACATGCTACTTGTGTAAGTCATGTTGTCATCCTAAAGTCTTACATATTCAGATTTTTATCTCTTTTTTTTCCCTAAGAAAATGTATTAATTTTTCTGTAATTCCTGGAATAGACCCATGCTTGTTTTGAGTTTTGCTAATCTAATCGGTGAGTTTATGACTCTTAAATGTATTAAAGTGCTCACATAATTGAAGCCATCTGTCAGTGCGAGTAAAAGGGCTGTGTTCTCCATTAATCCTGATTATGCTAGATTAATGTCTACAGCTCAAGGCCGGCAAAGTCATGGTTTCCAATAGCCAACGGATGTCATGCATGAAGTGCCACCTCAATCCTTGCTTTCTAGAGGTAACTGTAAACTTTGAGTGGATGGGTTGCTGTTTTTCTCACACTTCCTTTTAATTTGTTAATGTTTTTGAACCATGTAGCAACAGCAAACTTCATTTGCGTCAATAATTTGCAGTGGTGTAAAAAACATGTTTGCCACTTGCTTTCTATATAAAGCCTCTTTTTGAGCGTTGAAAGTCTTCAACTGCTACTTTATTTTAGACAAAAAGAACCTGAATAAACAAAACATTATTGAAAAGTATTTCAATTCCTTACATGTAAGGTTATCTGTAAAGTTAACAGACACTGTACGTAAGTGTAATTGCTCTGTTGTTAAATTAGTTCAGTATAAAATAATTTACTTTGACTCTCACCATTTGCAAGCAGAAACACTCAGAAAGTGCATTATGACACTATCAAAGAAAAAAAAACTTTTAAAACATCTAAAGAAAATCTAAAGTCATAACTACAAATCCATAATCAGGATGATAACTATAGTCTCCAAATTAATAATAGTGGCTCTTTCCAGAAATCTCCAGTCTCAAAAGTGATCTAAAACAACTCTTGTCTTAGCTATTGATTATTATAAATTCATCTCATCTCATTTTAATACCTGTAAGTGTGTGTGTGTGTGTGTGTGTGTGTGTGTGTGTGTGTGTGTGTGTGTGTGTGTGTGTGTGTGTGTGTGTGTGTGTGTGTGTGTGTGTGTGTGTGTGTGTGTGTGTGTGTGTGTGTGTGTGTGTGTGTGTGTGTTCTGCTGACTTGTTGCTGAACTACAGATGTGTTTTTTAAACACCTACTGGCTGTTTCACTCAAAGGCATCCAAGGAAACAGCAATTCTTCAAGGTGCACTCAGTCATTTTTTTCTCATTAAACATTTGCACATAAATAAATCAAGTCAAGTTTATTTATGTACAGTGCAGGGTAGTCACATGTAATCTGGATTATATAATCAGATTTAAAAAATGAAGCACTCATTATTATTATGTTTTAAAATACTTTTACTTTTTAACTATATCAGACTACAGTTACTTTTTATTAATTACATGATTACATATTCACACAATGGCAGCAAATCATTCATAATTTATTATGAAAATGAAACAAAAAATGAAACAAATCGGCAAATACGAATCACACCGGCAGGCTGCTTTCTGTATTTTTATAGCACTAAAATGAAATGATATATATTTACAGATAGATACTCCAAATATACAATATGGATCCTTGATGGTAATACATATGTTACAACTACAGTGCAATGCAAATAGTAAATATAAGATAAAGTGAGAAGTAATAGTAAATAGTTTAGTGTATAGTCACTGAAATAAACAAACAGTAGGCTATACAGCAATTAAAATAGTAATGAATAGTATAATAATAATAGCAAATACAATGTAATATCAATTGCAGAATAATATAGACAATAATAAAAAATAGTAAATGAAATAGTGACTAGGCTACCTACCCGAAACGAGTACTTGTCATAAAAGTCGGTTTTAAGAAAATATAGATGAATATTTAGATTTCAGGAAATATAATATAAGCTAAAACTATAATATAAATCATGTCAACTCATGTCTCAACTTTCTGACTCTGGTGGCCAACTAACGTTATTATTACTAATTAGCTATATAATGACCAAATATAACCAGAAACAAATGTTCAGTCTTGCTTGTGAAAGGTAATTCCCCGAGACCTGTTTTCAATTGTGCGGCGATTTGGACAGCCCCAAGCAGCACACGAAGCAGGCACTTTTCTAATTTTTCTCAATGAAAGTTATGGGAAAGTTGCCCTCTGGAATATGGCGGGGCCATTGACGTACGATCCAGCGGCCAATAGGGCGTCTATGTATTTATTATGTCTATGGTCAAGACGATCTGCTGAAGTTCAAACTGAGCCTCAGAATGGGGAAGAAAGGTGATTTAAGTGACTTTGAATGTGGCATGGTTGTTGGTGCCAGATGGGCTGGTCTGTATTTCAGAAACTGCTGATCTACTGGGATTTTCACGCACAACCATCTCTAGGGTTTACAGAGAATGGTCAGAAAAAGAGAAAATATCCAGTGAGTGGCGGTTCTCTGGGCAAAAGTGCCTTGTAATAATGCCAGAGGTCAGAGAATGGCTAGACTGGTTTGAGCTGATAGAAAGGCAAAAGTAGTTCAAATAACCACTTGTTAAAACAGAGATATGCAGAAAAGCATCTCTGTC